TTCTTTGGAGCTTTTTTGGGCTGCCCACCCAGGGACTCAAACAGAAGCCAAAAAAAAAAAAAACCCCTCCTTTAAATTACAGGTGTCTGGTATCATGTGTCAGCGGCAAGGAAAGTAGCTAATGCACCTTCTTTTGCTCAAAGACAAGAGAAGTGAGGGAACTATAGACTCAGAATAGAGAAGATCTAATCACAGCATTAGTGAGGTAGATCTCACGGGGTCACATCAGGTCACCTCACAAATATATGAAAGTTTTAAAATAATTTATAACGTCGACTTTAGTAGACAATAGTAAAAGTTGTAAAAGGCTTCCCTACTTCTCAGGCCAAAAACATGAGAAAGTGAAAGGTGAAATTGGTTTCACCAGGATTTGAAAGGCAAGTGATTCTATCACCATGTAAGCTGTTCCAAGAGAGAAAAAGAAAAACTTGCAAATTATCTTTATGGAACAAATTTGAAATGACAGTGATACAAGACCATGACAAGAGCACTCAGAGAGGACATTACTAATCAATTGTTCTTGTGGATATTAAAGCAGACACCTAAAACAATGCCAAGTAAATCCAGCATCATATTAAAATTGATATATAAAGATCAGGAGGGGTTTCTTCCAGGAATGCAAGAATAGATCAATAAGGAAACCATTAATATAGTCCATCATTATAAGAGATACAAAGACAAAAAGCATTAGGAACGTCTTCTCAAATCTTATAAGACACTTGGTAACACTGCAAATTCTTTTGTGTGAAGGTCTTCAATAAAATAGGGAGCTATCTAACTTCTTTAGCACAGTCATTGTATCGGTGCATGCGGTGTGAAACCACAGAGGTGCTGTTGTTCAGCAGGCAACAGGAAGCAGAGTTTCATTATCTCCTTTGAACATTAAGTTGAAATAACCAACCACCATTAAATAAATACAAAAATTTTAAAGTTCAAGGTAAATCTAGGAGATTCATGGAGAAGTCACTGTAATTGTGTAAGTGTTCTATTAAAAATGTTAACAAAATACAGTTGTGAAAGCTAGAAAATTAAGTAAGTGTAAGAATACACACTTCACACATGTAAGTAGGCAGAATTTCTATCTGAAAATGATTACTGGAAGTCAGTAGGAGAAACTATGTGTCATAGAATATAAATATATAGAAAAAGAAAGATATGAAAAATGAAAATAAAGCTATAGACAGTACACAAAATAGACTTTGTCAAGTAAAAGTTCACTATGGCATAAAAATAAGCAACATCATAATTATCAACTAACTCTGGGTTTATTTAAAAATTTAATGCAATTCTAATGAAATTACTATCAGCTTCTTTTTTCCGAGAACTAGACAAATAGGTTATAATTCAGAATAATACATTAGAAGTTAGAATCACAGTAACTCTGAAAACAAGAGGTGGCACTATTTTACACACACACACACATACACAGAGACAGAGACAGAGGAGCCAATTAAAATCTGCAGTGCAAAAATGAGAGAGTGAGAGAGACAGAGACAGAGCGAGCAAGAGAGAGAGAGAGAGAGAGAGAGAGAGAGAGAGAGAGAGAGAAAGAGACTATATTAAGTTCAAAAACAGCCAAAGAATTGCTACTATTAAATGGTAGTAGACAGATGGGAACCTTCTAGGATGATAAAATGTTTTAAGTCTTTGCTGGCATCCTGGTGATGTTGTTATAGGCAATGTAAAGATTTAAGATTTGTACAGAACTGGAAGGGTCCTACACAGGCCTGTCATGTGCCCCAGCCACCTAGCTCCTCCTGCCTTCTGTGGTACACTTGTTACAATTAATGAACCAATACAGACCCATTTTTGTAAAACAAGGCCTGTAATTCACATTGTTTCACTTCAATGCAATGCTCAGTGTTGACAGTTGTATGAATTTTGATAGTTGTATGAATTATACATAATGCCATGTATCCACCTTTACAGAATGGCTTAGCTACAATCTGTGATGAAGTGTTACAGAGACACTGTCTTATGAGACAGTGTCATAGAGAACAATTTCACTGTCCTAAAGCTTTCCTGGGCTTCACCTTTTCACCCATGTGTCCTCCCTTGGCATCCCTGACCACGGATCCTTTCATTTTCTCTACTGGTTTGTTTTGCCAGAGTTTTGTGCAGTTGGAATCCCACAGTTTAGCTCTTAGACTGGCCTCTTTCACTAAAGGCAAGCACTCAGCTGTCTTCACCTTTCTAGACGGCTAGAAACTCATTTCTTGTCGGTGAGTAACATTTCATTGTTGGAGTATGTCACATATTATTTACATCCGCATCTGTTAGATTACATCCTGCGTACTTCCAGTCTTCTGAGGTTACCAATGGAACCACTGAAAAGTGTGTGTTGATGTAAGTTTTCAGATCCTTTGGGTAAATACTGAGAGTGTAATGGTTGAATCGCATTGTAAAATTACGTTTAGCCTATGAGAAACTTCCAACTGCCTCCCAAAGCAGCGCTCTGTCCTGCAGCCACAGGGCAGGAGGCACGTTCCCATGGCTCCTTGACTCACCGGCATTTGGTATTTTCTGTTTCAGTGGATTCTGTTCATCTGCTAGCTGTTGTTTTAACAGCAGTTTCCTAGTGCTACACAGGGTTGAACATCTTTTGTACTCTTGTTTACCACCTGTGTGACCTACATTGGAAATTGTGTGTTTGGAATTTGGCTCTTGTCTTAGTTATGTGGTTTTCTTTGTTGAGAGCTGCAAGAAATTGTACATTTTGAATTCCTAGTTAAGTATGTTTTGCATGTAAAAAAGTATAAATTGTCATTGTTTTCCATTCATGAATCAAACTTTGGTGGCGCAGCGTGTAGAGCTGGAATTGTGTCTTCCCTAATGGTGTGACAGACTTCCCCGCCGAACCTGTCCACCCGGCACTTTCCTTAGCAGAGGCTGCGATGGTTCCCTGGCAGCTCTCAGAGGCCGAGGCACCGCAGAGGCGTTCTTGCTCACATGTCTGTGATGGTGCTTCACACTGAGACTAACACTTGGCTTAGTAGGCTAAGGAAAATGGGTGACCGTCCCTAAAACTGTCCCTAAAACTGAGTGGTCCCTGTCCAGACACTGGACGGCCCAGTCCGACTGGCACAGAATGGCTGGCCTTCCCACGAATGAGAGGGCCTGAGCACGGAGCCAGGCCACCACCCTTCCTCAAGCAGAAGTGGAACTGAAAGCTTCTCCAGGTCCCCAGTCTGCAGCCTTCAGGCTGGAAGCGAGCTGGGATGAATACGCATCTCGGAATGTGAACCAACTCTGTACAAAAGTCTTTCTCTCAGTGTAGACAGCTTGTTGGTTCTGTATCTACGGAAAGGCCAGCAAACACAGATGCTGGTTTCAGTATTTCTTTAATCAGCCTAGACTTCATCGTTATTATTACTCCAAAAGGTGACACTTAATGTTTCTCAAAAATTGGTTCATTTCTCCTAACCTATGAATGTGTGGTCATGAACTTGTTCGTGAAATCCCTTTATCATCCTGTTAATAACTGTAGGATTCACAGTGATGGGCTCTTTCATTTCTGATATTAATTTCTGTCTCTCTCTTCTTTGTTCCCTGGCTAACGATTCATAGACTTCCTTCATCTTTAAAAAAAAAAAAACACTTCTGCATTTTAAACACATTAATTTTCTCCAAATATTTTTCACTATTTTTACAAGTAGCTTTTGAATTTTGTTTGAGCATCTTTTGTTTTCCTTTGGCTCAGACTCCTCAATGTGTGTGTCATCAAACACTCCAACATTTTTTGACTGCTGGGATTTTAAAATTTGCTCAGCAGAGATTCTTTACTTCACCTCACCTTCTGAAGGTTACTCAAATATTTTCTAAGCTTTCTGTTTAAATTAGATGTTTATTTTGAATAATAGAAATGCATTTTTATTTGTGGTGAAATATGTACCTCCATCTTGTTCCAAGTAAAAAGCCTACAGCACTTATTCAATTGAATATTATACTAGTTCAAGGGCAAACTGAGCTATAGAAATAAAGAGATGCAAACACTCAGCCTAATTCAGATAAGAGGCAACAGCCCAGCCACTTCCATCAAATCCCTGCCACTTCTGATTCATCAGCTCCTAGCCACAGAGAGACAGGGACCAGGAGAGGCCTCACCCCAGCCTCCCGAGGGCCAGATTCACAGGGGTCCATCCCAGCACCGCAGCTCTGTGCTCTCTCCTCCTCCCTTGCTGGACCTGCTCCCTATTCACATGGCCACGCCTGTGACCTGCAAAGTCTAATCTTTAACTGGGGGGGCTCTGCACCTCCCCCAGGGAGAGCTTATTCACAGGAAAAATTAAGAAAAGGTGTGCTACTACTGGCTTCCACAATTGTGCTTTTCCTTATAACCAAATGCCATGAAGTCTTTATATGCAGCTTTATATGTAAACTTTCTTGTTCACCCCTGGAATTTGTTTTTAATCACTGACTTGGCTCTATTGCTATGACAACATCGTTCTCCTTGTTTTCGGCAGTTTTGCAGCACATGATTCGCCTTCAGTGGTGCTGGTTCCTCTGCACCCTTCCATTAACTTTTTGTAATTCTTCTGGGTAATTTGTTAATTATTCCAAATTGAAACCAACTACATTTGAATTAAAATTATGTGTAGCATAGTTGCTAATTTTAATGTAGCTTCTTCTGATAAGTGAGAAATCAATTTGTTCTCTAACACATCCAGTTTGAACAATAGGCCTATTTAATGAAAATGTTCATGGATCTAAACACAGTATTGGGAGCCAGGGAATCAGCTCAGTGGCATAAGCACCTGCCTTGCAATTGCAAGGTCGTGAGTTCAATCCCTGGCACCAAAAAAATAAATAAATAAATTTTTAAAAATTAGCACAGTACTGTATTGTGTGTGACTTTCATCCTTTTTATGTCTGTATGTATTACCTTCTATATTATTTTCATGTTTTCCCCTCAAAAAGTTCACAATATAATTTATTCTTTATTTTTTTTAATTTTTTATTAAAAAATTAAAAGAAAGAAGGAGATTAAGATAAAAGAGGACATAACAACATAATAACACAGGTCAGAACATAACAATTTAAGCAACATACTGTTTCACCACAAGATAACCCGACATAACAGTAGCTACCATAGTGTCTCTTTCCTTGAAATATTTGAGTATAACTTCATATATTATAGCATCAAACACAACATGACAGTGTAAAACCATTTAAGAGAGTGAAAGCATTACAGGGTATTTAGATCCAACTAACAGAAAATGAATGGTTTCTATATTATCTCCTTATCTATAAAAAATTTGTTTATTCTATCACATATAATAAAATCCAGTAAGATACAACATGATAAACTGATGGAGACAGAAGAACAAAAGCTTCATGGGACTTCAAAATAAGATATTATATTAGCACTAGCTATTATATTGGGTTTTGTTCTTCAAACTGTTCATACCATCACAGACAATAAAATCAAACAACCAAGAATAGAACCATTCCAATTAATGAAAACATAAGGCTTCAAAGCAGTATAATGGGGAATCATGTTTATCACATACTTTTATGTATTCTTACCATTTCTTACATTAGGGAAACTATTCAGCATTTATACAGGTGAGTTTGATTTATTTCGCTTATGAGTATGGTTTCAAGCTGTGCCCATTTATTTATCAATATCTCAATGTGATCATCCTTTATAGCTGAGTAGTACTCTATTGTATAAAAATACCACATCTTTTTTATCTATTCCTCAGTTGATGGACACTTAGGTTGCTTCCAAGATCTGGCTATTACAAATTGTGCTGCTATAAACATGGGTGCACATATATCACTGTGGTATGATGTCTTCAGTTTTTCTGGGAATATGCCTAGAAGTGGAATAGCAGCAAAGGCAAGGCAGGAAGCATCACAATCCCTGACTTGAAATTATACTAAAAAGCAACTGTAGTAAAATCAGCATAGTACTGGAATAAAAACAGAGCCAAAGATCAATGGAATACATTAGAAGATACAACCACAAGTATAAACACACTCAACCACCTTATTTTTGATAAAGGCGCCAAACATGTTCACTGGAAGAATGACAGCATCTTTAATAAACGGTGTTGAAAAACCTGGCTCTCCACATGCCGAAAACTTAAAATAGACCCATTGCCTATCACCATATACTAAATTAAAATCTAAATGGATCAAAGATCTGAATATTAAAACAGAAACACTAAATCTATTGGAAGATAAAACCTTCAAAATTGGGTAGAAACCTTGATGACATAGGGGTAGGCAGAGAATTCATGAACAGGACTCAAATCGCACGGGAAATACTTTCCAGAATCAGTAACTGGGATCACGTCTTATTAAAAAGTTTCTGCACGTCAAAAGAAATCTCCAGCACAGTGAAAAGAAAACCAACAAACTGGGAAAAAATCTTAGTGAACTGTCCCTCAGACAAAGGACTTCTGTCTAAAACATATAAAGAATTTAAAAAATCAGACTCCCCCAAATTTATTCTCTTTCATACACACTCATCTTATTTAGCTTTCTTTAAAATTCAGAAATTTCAAAGCAATTTGAGGGACATTTCAAGTTCGGTATTTTGACAACTGTTCATCATCAAAATTAACTGGACCTTTTCAACATGGAACTTAAACTTTTCTGAATCAAGACACCAGCTCCTTTTGCTTGTGTTACCATAAACTTGGTTTTGTATATTTTTTGTTAGGCCCCATTTTATATACTGATCACATTTACTGCGGAGAACTGGCACGTGCATGTAACGCATCTTGATTCTCCTTTTCCCTCCAACCCCACTCTCTTCCTCCGGGGCTTGGTTTCCTCCCCATTTGCGAACCTTATTTTCATCACTTTTCCTTTTACTCTTTTTGTTCTATCACTTTGCCCTCCCTTCCCTTCCCGCTCCCCCATCTCACGTTCCCTGTTCCCTGGAAAAGGTCCCTTCCTTCCTTCCTATCTTGTGAAACCTTTTATTTAAAAACAGCCCACCTGGACCTGCCTTCCAGTGTCTGCTGTTCCCATGAACTGCTTTACACTCTCTCAAGCGACTACTTCTGTTGGGGTTTTCTAATGATCAAATGAGTTTCACAATCTGTCAGTTCATTTTTTAAATCATATTACTTATTCATAAGTCCCTCTGAGTTCTGCGGAAGGACTCATAACAGCTCACAAATACTCCAGTGTTTCTGTCCCCTTGAACATTCTGTAGCTGACACTTTCCTGCTGTGCACACTACCATGTAATTTTCTGTGCCCAGTAATGAATTTTGGAAAAGCAGTAACATCCGTACAAACCAGGCAGAACCTTAGGAGCCAGCATACAATTTCCCAGTCTCCTTGCCTACATCTTAATGACCACGGGATTCGCTGACTTTCTTGATTACTGTGTGGGAGCAGAAACAGGACTGGGAGAGTGGTGGAATGAGGGGAGTCCAGTGAAGCAGGTGTTTCCCAGAGCTCTCTGTTGCCTTTGCCCTGGTCAGCTTCCAACAACTGAGAGTTAAACACACAGCAGAAGTGTTTCAGGGCTGGGAGACACAGCTCCATGCGAAAGCACTTTCCTCATGGTAGTGAGGCTCTGTGCTACATCCCCAGCCTGAGAGAGAAAGACAGACAGAAAGAGACAGAGACAGAGACAGAGAAAGTAAATATTTTAGAGGGTTTTTTCCCAAGAAAAACGAACCAGAAAGCAGGGGGGAGAAGAGGAGGAGAATTTCGCAGCTAAACGAGGGTATGTGGGGACAGGTGCATACCCCTGGACCTGTGAACCCCAGAGTGAAGATGCTGAAAAGCCGACTGGAGCGGTGAGTCTCACCTCCTGATGGTGCCAGGCTGTGTCTAGGGCTTCCCCCATCGATGGACAGTCGGTGCTGACAGCAGCGTCCCTCACCATGATGGCCGAGTTTCAGCACAGGGAAGACTGCGTTCGTCCTTAGCCAACCAGGCTCCAGAGACTGCTCCTCCCTCCATCCCTGCTTCCTTCCTGTTGTAGTCAGAGGTTGTACACAGAGAACAATTCAGATCAGGACATGGAGTTTATAATATTTTTATAATGGTCACCGGAAGTTAACACAGGAGAATGCAGGAAATCTATCCGCAACACCAACGACATAGATTAATTAGTCAAGAGTCTAAACCCCAAGGCAATGTCCCACATGAGTCCAGATAAAAACCCAGAGCTCAGGACAATGCCTCCATGAGTCCAACTGGAAGTCCAGAGCCCACAAGAAGGACTCACGCCAGTCTCTTTTACAGATTCGTGCCGGGAAGACCCAAGGGTCAGCGGTGGAAGCCAGAAAGTCTATGCCAGCAGGATGAAGGAGCTGTGCTAGTGGGATGAGGGTTCTACGCTGGAGCCAAGAAGTCACACTCACAACAAAGACCAGGGCTACCCTGAAGGGCACCACAGCTGTCCTCAGTGACACGGAGGCCTCAAGCTCCTCCGACGACAAGCACAGTCGGGTAAGTGCCATGAAGCAGCATGACGAGTTCATCCAGGAGCCCAGGCAGCACGTCTTCCCCTCCGGAGCCAGGAAGCAGTGCTCGATGTGAAGACCAGAGGTTCTCCAGAACCAACAGCTCAGACAGCAACTCGTAGGAGAACCCATAATGCCTCCTTAACACCTCAATCCCTCCCAACACCTCTCTTCTTCCCCACCTATTTATCCCTGACAACCCTCCTCAGGTGGAGCATCTTCTCTCAATGCATGCTGATGTAATCCAGCTGGTGTTGAGTTGACCACCAGTTTTCAAACGATAGCACTTCCCATGACAGCTCCTGCAAGACAGGTGAACAGCCCAGAGTGCCTCAGGGTAGAGGAGCAGCAGGACGACAGTGCCCTGCCCCTCACACCCAGGGCCTTTGGGAACAATTCCTGTGCACCAGGAGAAGGAACTGCATTCAGTGGCTTTTGCCACTGTGCACTGTCGCTGTCAAGGACTGGATGTTCTTAGGCAGATGAGCACCTCTGTTTTGTGATTCAAACCTTTGTGGCTCATGCTCAGATTTCTGGAACTCCCTCAGAGCTGATCACACCTTTCCCGCAGTGCTAGTGTCAGTGAAAACATTGTCACGTGTCATCCAAGAGTCCACCTCGCAGCCTTGGCCCCCAGGCTCTCCTGACTCCCCAGAGAAGACATTTCCTCAGGAAACCGAATCAAGACTGACCTCTTATTACCAGCCCTGGAAGGACTTTCCCCAAATGACCCCAAGATGTAATCTCTACCTTTACAAGATTATTACATTGCTCTTCTCTCTTTACAATGTCTCTGTGATTTCAGGTGATTTGTTCATCTGACATTTCCTTTGCTAAAAAACAAAAGAGTAAAATATTTAACCTCTGATGAGAGTTATTAGAAATTTCATTTACAGAAGTTTTGGCATGGAAACTCATCCTTGTAACACTTCTTAATGTAAATGTATTGTTTTCCTCCTGGTTGTTTTCCTCTCTTTTCATCCAGCAGCGATGCTTTACCAAACAACTCCCTCTTCCTAGTGGCCCACCAGTGTGGTTTAATTGGGGCTGACCATCTTCACAGTCCCTGTGGGTCTACTTGGGTCACCCACCTCATCTTCCACTCAAAATAAGGGTGCAGAGACGCATGGACACAAGGTAACTGAAATTCTCTCTAAGGCTTGAGTTAGGCAGCAGATTTCTCCCTTTGACACAAATTCTCAGCGTGAAACCGTGCAATGTGGAGACTTCCAGTCATCTGCAACCCCAGAAGACCAGGAGGGCCACACAGAGAGTGCAGCTGGCCTGGTGCATGGGGGCTACCAGGTAGAAGGGAGCTACTGTGCGATACCCTATGAAGCAGCGCACATACCACACTGGTGAGGGTGATCTAAGGGAAAGGAAAAAAATAACTGTCTTGTCCAAAATATACTCCTACTAGGAGTCTGCCACAAGCCGTGGCCAAGTCAGACTAATTCATACCTAAAAAGTAAGAATTATGTAATCCGTGAACACGTTTAACACTGAAGTGTCGCCCATTCTTTGAACTCAGCAGTGAACCAAAGATATCTAGTAAAAAGAGACACGGAGGGGCTGGAGATTTAGCTCAGCGGCATAAGCACCGGCCTTGCAATTGTGTGGTCGTGAGTTCAGGGACGAAAAAGAGACACAGAGTATAACTTGGAAGAATCAATATTGCTTTCATTTCTTTTAGAATTATTAAAACATTTAGCATTATATATTTAAAGAAACAAGGCACATTACTCAGTCTTTACAGAATACTCTAGATAGCTATGGTGTGTTTGTTACTATTTCTAATGAGTGCAGAAATATGACACAGAATGTAATTAAATTTAATGACTGTTAATCTTCCTGCTCTATAATTTGCTCTGTTCTACAAATATAGGGTTAACGTCACCAATTGCACATGAGATCTTTTTCATTAGAGCTAGAAAAACTCACTGATACCTTTCAGAAACTCACTGAGCCTAATAACATATGAGAACATTACAAGTGATGCAAATGCTTGCTTTTATTGATTTTGCAAATAGAAGGAGAAACACCTGCCGCGTGTTGGAAATTTAGCATTTTAATATGCAGAATAATAAAATGAAGGTCGCATTGGTCCATAGTTGATGTAGGCGCCCAAACCAACAGAGAGGCCCAAGGCAAAGGCATGGACACGCTGACCGGGAGGCTGCGGGATCTCCCGCCATCCATGTTGGTGAAGAGTGGTCCTTCCTCCCTCCCAGCCGCATCCCCTGCCACAGGGTCTGCCGGCCACTCTGCTGGGGGCCTCTCCACGCCACGATGGTCTCAGGCAGAGCTCAGGCACCCGTCTGTCTCCCTCCTCTCAGACACATGGGAACAGATGCCAGCCCGCATGTGACACGGTCCTGCAGAGCAGACTCCTATGGATTTACGGATTTCTGCTACTTCCTTGTTTAAGCATTTTGTTCAGTGGGATCAGGTGTTGAATATAAAATACATTTATAAATATAGGATTATTTCTTTGTCAACTTACTGCACATTTTCAAGCACATTTTGGATATTTTTGTTGAAATTAATCTATACTCATTCTCTTCACCGCATAACAATTAATGGAATACTTACTATGATGGAAAACTGGACAATATATGAATGGGGCAATTACATGATTTTCTTAGTTAATTTCCCCTTGCCAGGACAAAACATGTGACACCTCGGCTTGGCAGAGGAGAGGTTTGCTCTGGCCCACAGGACCATAAGTTTCAGTCCACCTTCAGGAGCCAAGCTCAATGACAGAAATGGCATTGACCGAAAATATAAAGTCAAGGCTGGATGTGGTGCACATATCTGTAATCCCAGCACTCAGGAGACTGAGGCAGAAAGACTGCTGTGAGTTCAAGGTCAGTCTATACTACTGCATAGTGAAACCCTGTCTCAGACCAAAAAAAAAAAAAAAACCCATGTATATATTATATATATTAAACATGATCAAAATTGGAAAATACCACTGTTTTCAGAACATTCAAATAACCCACAGGAAAGCAAGAAGGGAAAGGCAATGCAAACAAACAAAAAAACAAATCCTCAAAGTAGCAAAAATAAGAAAAAATAATAAAATGGTAGATCTAAAACCAACATGCCAATAATAACATACAACTGGGTAAGTGTGTGGCTGAGAAGTAGTGTGTGCTTAGCAAGGGTGAGGCCCTGAATTGAAATCCTGGCACCAATGATTATGATGACAATAAACTAAAGTGCCCAAACACACTGATTAAAAAACTGACACATGCATGTATCTGGCTGCAAGTTGCTATACATTATACAATGCATATTATAATATATAACATATCATATATATGATTTAATTTTCTAACTATATTTTAACTGTACTTATTTAAAAGGAAAATCATAAACAAATCAGCCTTTTCCTACAAAAGCAGAAATCAAAAGTACATAATCAGCAGGGGACTTGGGTGGCCAGAGATGAGGGTCTATGCACCATCCCAAGCCCTGGGAATTTAAGATCATCACTCCCAGGGATCAAGGAACCTCCCAGCTTCCAGCCACATTCAACTGGCTCCAGTTCCATAGGATTTCAGCCTGCCTGTGCCTCCCCCAGTGGCAGTGAGAGAGAGACCCTCTCTCAATCTTGGGAACTGGGCAGCTGGAGGCACACAGGAAGCCTTGGAACAACACTTGAAACATGGAAATACAGGAAAATGACAAAGTGAAAGACCAAAATGCAATCTCAAACCTCCAGCCCATCCAAAGAAAGCTTAGGAGCTATGTACATAGAAGAAAATATATGCCATACACCTGAAATACCTGAAATAATAGCAACTGAAATAAAGAAGCAACTCCGGGAAGCTTTAAAGGAATTCAAACTAGAAATAATCTCCCAGGTAAAAGAAGAAATGATAAAAGTAATGAAAGAGATGCTGAACACATCTAAAGAAGACACAGTTAAAAATTTATAGGAACAAAACAAAAAGATGGAATCCCTGGATAAATAATATAAGAAACTAACAGAATACATGAAGCAGATTCAAAGAGATATACAGGAAATCAAAACTTCCATTTAAAGTTGTCAAAACTGCCTCAATGAAAGTGAAGATAGAATTTCAGACCTCGAAAACAAGATTGCAGCTAGTGAACAGGAAAGGAAAGATCTTTTAAAAATAACAACGAATCAGGAAATAACAATTCAACAGCCGCAACATGATGCAAAGAAAAACAACATAAGACTGATGGGGATAAATGAAAAAGAAGGGAACAACACAAATGATATCAAGAGGATATTTAGAGAAGTAATAGCTGAAAATTTCCCAAACATGAGAATGGAAACTGACATTAGGATCAGTGAAGAATATAGAACTCCAAATAGCCATAACCAAAATAAAATTACACCCAGATATATAATAATCACCATCCCAGAAATCCTACATAAGAATAGAATATTAAAAGCTGTTAGAGAGAAAAGACAGATCACAACCTATCAGAATCACAGCAAACTTCTCAGCACAAACAATGAAGTCAAGAAGAGCAGGGAGTGAAGTATTTCAGATCCTAAAGGAAAATGATTTCCAACCTAGACTGATGTACCCTGAAAAACTGTCCTTCAAAATGGATGGAGAAATAAGATACTTCCATGACAAAGACAGCTGAAGAACTTCATGATCACCAAGTCAACCCTGCAAAGAATACTGAAACACATTTTAGGTACACTTAGGAAAAAACCACTAAGCAAAGCAGACAATTAAACAGAAAGGAAAGAGAAACATGCAACAGCAGAAAGATAACATATCAATAATAAACCAACATATAACAGTTATAACCATTAATGTAAATGGTGTCAATTCGCCTATTAAAAGAAACAGACTGGCAGAATGATCAAGAAACAACATCCAACCATATTCTGTCTACAAGAAACCCATCTAACCCAAAAGGATACTCATAGACTGAAAGTCAAAGTATGGAAAACAATACTTTATGCAATAGGAACCTTTTAAAAAGTGGGGGTAGCTATTCTATTTGCAGACAACGTGAACTTCAAACCATGAATGATCAGAAGAGATAAAATAAGTCATTACATACTGGTTAGGGGAAAACTTCAAGAGGAAGAGATAACAATCTTAAATGTATATGCACCAAATTCCAGAGCACCCAATTATACAAAGCAAGCATTGATAGAAAAGAAAAATCAAATAAGCAATAATACAATTATAGCAGGAAACCTTAACACACAATTGACACCAAGGGACAGATCAATCAGACAGAAATCAGCAAAGAAATAACAGAACTAAATAACTGAACACCTGTGAACAAATAGACTTGATAGACATATACAGAGTGTTCCATCCAACAACATCAGAATACACATTCTTCTCAGCAATACATGGGACATTCTCTAAAATAGACCATATACTAGCCCAGAGAACATATTTAAATAAATGCAAAAGAGTTGAAATTATCCCATGCATGTTATTGGATCGTAGCACCGTGGGGGGCTGGGGATTTAGCTCAGCGGCATAAGCGCCTGCCTTGCAAGCAGGCAGTCATGAGTTCGATCCCTGGTATCGATAAAAAGGAAAAAGACAAAAAAAAAAAAAAAAGAAACTAGAAATTAATGATAAAATAAACTGCAAAAGTCTCACAAACACATCAAAATTGAATAACACACTCTTGAGCAATCAGTGTACCACAGGAGAAACTAAAGAAGAAATTAAACAACACGTACAAGCAGACGAAAATACAAATACAACTTACTGGAATCTGTGGGATGCAATGAAAGTGGTCCTCAGAGGAAAATTTATTGCACTGAGTTCCCACATCAGGAAAACAGAACGAATACAAATAAATAACCTGATGCTATATCTCAAACTTCTAGAAAAAGAAAAGCAAGTCAAGCCTAAAGCCAAAGGAAGGGAGGAAATTATAAAAATCAGAACAGAAATTAATGCAATAGAGACTAAGAAAACAATCCAAAGAATCAACGAATCGAAGAGTTGGTTCTTTGAAAGAATAAATAAAATTGATAAGCCCCTAGCCAACCTTATTTGAAATAGGGAAGAAAAAGCTAAAATTCATGCAATAAGGAATGAAAAGGGCAAAATCATTGCAGACTCCGTAAAAATTCAGAAGATTATCAACACCTATTTTGAAAACCTCTACTCTCATAGGTTCGATAACACAGAAGAAATGGACAGACTCCTAGTAACATATGAAGTACCAAAGCTAGGTCAAAAAGATGTAAAACTGCTGAATAAACCAATTTCTATTAGTGAAATTGAAAATGTAATCAAGGCCTTACCTACAAAAAAGAGCCCAGGCCCAGACAGATTCACCACAGAATTCTACAAGAAATACAAAGAAGACT